TATAGTTATTTATTTATTTATTTAAATTTATTTTATTTTAATTTAATAAAAAAAAGAGGTAAAAAAATTTGTTAAGGATTAAATTGAAAATAATTTTGAGAAAAAATGGTGAAAATTTTGGTTCTGAAGATATTGTTGAAAGAAAAATCAGAAACCGGGGGTCAAAATGCAATTTAGAAAAATTGCGCCACGTCAAATGTGCGGTCAGCAGCTCCGACCAACCAGGACGAGCCAAGTGGAAAGGCGCTGACGCGGGAGGCCATGCGGGGGGCCACGAGGGCGATCCACGTGCGCGTGATCGAACGGCTGAAATCCGTTCCTACACGCACGGACGGCCTAGATTGGAAGCGCGTACGGACGTCCCAGATTGAATCAGCTATGGACGGCCCAGATTGAATCGCGCACGGATGACCCATATTGAATCGCGATGAACGGTCCAGATTTACTCCCTATTTAATTGCTATCGGACGGTCCAGATTAAAAGCGATCGACGGCCCAGATCAAAAACGGATGGGTATAAATAATTCCATCCGCACCCAAACCCTAACCCTACCTGCCATAACTCCTCGCCGAAGAAGACAACCCAGCCGCTGGGAAGCCGACCACCACCACCCACCGTCATACCGGAGAAATTTTTGACTGCCAAACAAGGTAAAAATCTCACCATTTGCTCAGAATTCAATTTTAAACACACTCATGATCAAATCAGAGCAAAAGGACCAACCGATTGGCCGAAAAATGCTGGCAAAGCCTGGCGGTGCTGTCGCGGGTATTTCGAAAAATGCCTCTGATGAGGCCCTTCTCGATTCCCGTTCGATGTGATTTTTTCACCGTTGTGATCACCGTTTTCTTCTCTATAAGTTAACTGGATCAAAATGCCCAATCGCAATGTGAGCCAGAGGAGCCACCGCGTCAGAGAGCCCCGCCGCCGGTGAGTTTCGATTTTCTATATTTTTTGGCCAACCGAAGGCCCTAAGTGTATTTTCTCACAGGAACTGATGCAAAATTGGTTGAATTCGGCTAAAAATGGTCGAAAACCAATCATAACCCGAGGCAGATCATCGCCGCAAACAGCGGTGCCGTCGTTGGAGCACGGCGAAGTCACCTTGCCGGATTTCTGAAATTGGCTGAGTAGGCCCTGAGACTGATTTTTGGGTTATTTGGGATATTTGTAGGTACTGTAAACGTGTTTCAATTCCCGAAAAAAAATTTAGAGAACCTAGGGGACTGCCCGTAGGTGCAGTAAACTATTTAGTTTTTCGGTGTCAAATCAAGTAAGGACCCCTCAGCCTATTTCCTATCATGGAATTGAAGTTTGAATAAATAATAATACGGTATTTTGTACAAATTAAATAGATGTGCATAATTAATTACAGATTGCTAATAGAGCCCGAACCAGACATTGTTCTCTGTTGATTTATTTTACAGTCTAAAAGTATGATGGTATCTGGTTTATCTATTTTAAGGTTTAAATGCATGATTTACTACCTTACTCGACCACTACTTGATTTTGAGATTTAAGATATGATTGTATTACTGGATGCATATTCATTTGTTTATATGATTATGTTTGATTTGATAATGGGGACTAAGAAAAAATAGGAAAGGGGTGTGATCTAATAAACAGATAAGATGACAGCCTCACTAGATATCTTGAGAGATAGTGGACGGACCGGGTTCATAGAGAACCTTACCATGAATGTTGTCTCATATCGGACGGGGTATGGAGACTTGGTCATTTGGCGCTCATACCGGACGGGGTATGGGGACGGCTCTGTAACTAAGATTGTTAAGGAAAAGGGTTCACGTGTAGCGGGGACACCCCTATGGATCCTCATGGATACTAGTGGGCTGGAGAAAACGAGAAACAGTTATGATTTAGTTATTGTTAATGAATATGAATTTATGATATGTTCTATGTTACTGATTATACATGAAGTTATAATCTGTATGATGTTATTGTCTTTATAGATTGTTTTCATAAATTTCACAATGGTAAGTGAACTGTAAATTGTTTTATTTTTTATAAATGTATTATTTTAAATTTAGTGCTCAATTGGTTGTTT